AGTGAGGTTGGAGCTCAGGAGTTCTGCGTGTGGAAGATAGAAAACGAAGCCTTGATCTTCGTTTTATCAACATGAATGGGTGCAATCGAGGTGTTGTCGCATGAGGGGATTGCTTCGGCGCCGTTCGCAGGGCATGGGCGATGGGACTGTAGCGATCAGAGCAACGTTTTGAGCAGGATTTGGCTACAAGTAAACATTCATGCACATTTTTTATTCTCTTTTTATTAAATGAGAGAGGTCAACAATTTGGAAATTAAAAAAAATTATTTATATGCTTAGAAGAATATTAAAAAGATAATAAATGAAAGGTTAGAATTTTGTTTGTGAAGAAACTCAAAAGAGTTATATAATAGTAGTATAGATAATTACAAATTTATAAAATGACAAGATTCTTTAATGGAATAATTAATTGAGATATATACTTAAATTTTTTTATTTTTAAATTATGGATTATTAAAATTATAGAATTATAACAATTATTTATAATTAATTAAAAAATAGTTATTACTTTAAATATATGAATTTTCAAATTATGAATTATTAAAATTACTTTAAATATCTGAATTTTAACAGTTATTAAAAATTAATTAAAAATAGTTATTACATTAAATATGTGAATTGTCATGCATTTAATTAAATAAAGGAAATTAAAAAACAAATTAAATGTATAAATAAAATGAATGATTTGAATTTATTTTTCATAAATAAAATGAAAGATTAGGATTGCATTTGGGTGAAAAATCAAGCTTATAGATTTTCATTTATTGTTATAATAAGAGAGCATTAATGAAGGAAAAGAAAATAATATAAGCAGCTCTAATGAAAATTTCCAATTTTATTCTGCCAGAGTAAAAGTAAAGCTAAAGTTTTTTTTTTTTTTTTTTTTTTTGGGTTTATATATTGGGCAAAGTTAATCGTGCAGAGCGTAGACAAAAAGCCATTTTGGTTTCATTCTTATATGCCGACTAAATCATTCTCTTCTTTTTTTGGGGTTTAATGAGGTCAAAGCCTGAATTCTATTCACTATAGAAAATAATTACAAACTATGAAGCGAAACCAAATAACAAGAAGTATACTCAAGTAGGAAGAAACATAACAAGCAAAAGAAAGTATACCCATATGTATATCAAAACCGAGAGGAGCCAAAAAGAAAAAAACTGAATGAAGTAAAGGCTACAAGATGGCCTAAACCCCAAAAGACTCAAACTTTGACAATATAGAGCTTCCTTAGCCACCCAAAGAACACCCATGAATGTAATAAAGACTGGTTGTCAAGAAGGCCACCCAAAGGATGGAGCAAAGATGAGATACCCAACATTCATCAAAGTGCACCAGCCTCGAGAACACCTAGAGATAACGGTCGGACAACCAAAAAATAAAGGGAGCAGACAGAGAACAAATCGAGCCCAAGAAGAAGAGGGCACCAAAAAGGAAAACATGAACCACCAAAACAACCAAAGCAACCAAAATTAACCAGCGAAATAGAGAATCTACAAACCACGCCAAAACCAACAGCCATCAACACAACCACCAAGCACCAAAGCCAACCCCACAAACCCACCCAGCGCGACCAACCGAACAACAACGAGAAACTAGCTAATAGAGAGGGACCAAGCCCACACCAGTCAAAAGCAACAAACCCTCCAAGCTCCCAACAGAGACCCAAAAGGAACCACCACCGAGCCACCCAAAAAGCAAAAGCCTCCACCCAACCCGACAACACATAAGACTGAGAATGCTCCGTCAATGGATTTTATATGAGAGCTTTCATTTTTATACGAATAAAATTTTTGTATTTACTTATATAACAATATAATATCTTAATAATAATATAATATATGTATTAAAAGATGTTTTCCATTTTAAAAATATTAAAGTTAGAATTATTCTTAATGTTATTTCAAGATTTGTGTTTGAAATGGAAATAACTTCAAGAATAAATAATAATATAGGTTTACATAGATACTACTGAATTTTTATGCATTTACAATCTCACCTATATTATCCCAACTAGTTCAGATGACTCACATGTGGGCTTAGTTGAACCTAGATTAATCCCTAGACACTCATTAATATAAGATATATAGAATCTTAATAGTCATACCAAACTATTTACCACAATAGAAAGAAGGGTGCTATTTACAACCTATGATATATAATAGTGAAATCATTTTCAAGCGAGCTAGGCCCTTTATATTTCTTACATTTTGATTTTATTTTTAATGTCTATTGCAACTTTCTTTAGCATGTTTATGCTAAATTTTTGCATACAGTTAATGCGTTAAATTTTATTTCTCTATTGTGGTAAATATTCATTTTTAACATAATCAATATATCAAAAATTATGAACTATTATTTCATTATTAGTTTTTCTAATATATATAAATAATTTATAATTTCTGGTATTATTCATTACATTTTATAGGTGATTGGAGTTTTTAAATCTCAAACAATTTTGGCTGTCAAAGCCATATTTATCAGAAGCAAGCAAAAACCATATAAACGATCAAGATTTAAAATGAGAGCAAGATTGTAAATAAAATGGAATTTAAAAACCTAGCCTTCAATCCATTGCAGTGATCTCTAAACATTTTTTTTTTCTTTTGAAGAGAATCCAGGAACAACAAACCAAGATGGCAATATGTACAGTAACTATTCTGTAACTTATAATGCATAAAAATTCATAATACTACATGCCTGAGTAAATACAAGTTGTACATGAACTCTACGCTCATAATAATTCCCATGGAAGAGAAGGCTTAATTAACGAGTTAATAAGGCTTTATTTATCTTGGTGGATTGTGGGTCACTTGTGGGCCAAGTCACGGTAAAAAATACATCAACATTAACCTGAACTACATGGATCAGTAAAACTAACATAATACATAAAACAAACAATACAAAAATCTAAAGACACAAAAATGAGATTGAGAACAAACAATCACAAATACCAAAAGGTACAAATGAGAATTAAGCAAATGTAGAAAAAAAATATACTAAAAAGTAAATGCAACAAAACCAAAATAACCAAAAACATATAAACTAGAACATAAGCACAGGATCGAGAACAACACAACAAAAAAACAAACAAACAAACAAAAACAAGCATGCGACTATTCAATTTCCTAAGCATTGATATCATTGATTCCTAATCTAGTTATAATTGCACTGAACCTTTCATAATTTAGAAGTTTGATAAAAATATCTGATAACTAATTCTATGTGTCCACAAATTATAAACTTACATTTTATCTTGCCACATGATTCATAATAAAGTGGTGTCTCACGTCAATGTGTTTAGTGCAAGAGTTTTTGAATAAGATTATTAGTGATGCAAATCATACTTGTGTTGTTACATATGACAGAGATAATATATGCTTGTAATATAAAATCAAGAAGCTATTGTTTTAGTCAAAGGACTTGGGTAACACAACTTCTTGTAGCTTGGAGCTCGCCCAGAGTGAACAAGAGGAACTACATGGATCAGTAAAACTAACATAATACATAAAACAAACAATACAAAAATCTAAAGACACAAAAATGAGATTGAGAACAAACAATCACAAATACCAAAAGGTACAAATGAGAATTAAGCAAATGTATAAAGCAAATCTACTAAAAAGTAAATGCAACAAAACCATAATAGCACTACTTTGCCTAACCAACCAGATGCTTTCCCTCTCCAAGGCAAAAGGAATTCCTTATCAGGCTATAACCTTGCCACAGACCTGGACCAAAACCTTAGTCACTCGCTCCCTCTCAGAAAAATGTCATACACTCGATCTCTCATAAAGCCACCATGCTCACCAAACTCAACTAAAGGAGAGTGTCTACTCATGAGACCCTCAATGTACCTTGGTGCGACCATCGAACTCGGAGCTCTGCATTACCAAGACAACATCTCACTCACAACTCTCTACTCGGGTGGTTTGAAATTTCACACATACAAGTCACAGGCAAAGTCAGCAACCACACAAAACGTTGGTCCCCTTTCATCTAAGTATATGCCTGCAAACCACTCGAGCACGGTAGACCTAGTCTACTTGGCAATACTAGATTTTCTCATAAGCAACTCGCCAAAGCCTTTAAACCTCACTTTCCTTCAACAAATCATGAGACGACACATGTCGAGGAAACTTTGTAGCATTGTTTTTTTTTTCTTTTTCTATTTATAGTCTTTCCTATAGCCCTCAAAACCCTATAAATGAGGGGTGATGAGAAAAAATTTGGGAGATCTTTTTAAAACATTTTTTTTACTGATAGTGGATATTTTGCCAGTTTGAGACCTATAGCTTTTCTAGCATTGTGTAGCACACTTTCGTCCATTCTCTCCACTCTCCATTCTCATAAGTTCTAGTTTATTAGGTAGGCTTACAAGTATGGTTGGATGTCATCCATAGATAAATTTGGATCCATAAGTGCAAAATTTTACTAACATCGTATACTCATCTATTTATTTGCACTATATATATTCTGCATTTGCTTGCTACCAGTGCTACACACTCAAATGTTAACGCTTTATGAGAAGTAGAAGCGGGCATCATGTATGCCTCATAGGAAGATCTGATAGATGCATCATGTTATCGTAGTACAAGTCATATGTATATGAAGCATGGACATCTAATCAAGAAATAGATCCTTTCCAACAGTTCCAGCTCAATATATTATGCCCCAGATAAAACAGATAAGAAAAACAAAATTTATTTGTAGCATTCCTTATTAAATTTTGTACTTTTGTTTTCTCTGTAAATAATGACCGACAAGCTGTAAGAGGTCCAATGAAGGTTTAATTCAGAAAAATAAAAGAAAAGGCTGTAAGGAAGTTGGCATTCACAGCTTTGGATAAATCAAGGAATTCTTTTTAAGTTGAAATGCAATTGAATGCCTACTTTTCTAGCATTTTTGACCTAGACATGGAGCTTAAAAGTTAAGAAACATGTCAATGTTCCCATTTTCTGGATTTATTCACTTCTGCATTAATCATTCAGTGAAAACAACAATTAAACAAATAATTAGTAACTTCCTTAGATGAAGAACCATGCGCATAGCTTCAAATGTTGGTACAGAACAATAAAGCTCTTAATTGCAGAAAGCCTTCAAGAAGAAAAACAAAAACTAACCTGGTAAATGCACAAGACTTAGGAGAAACCTTCTACCAATTCAAACTTAAGAAGAAACTTCTTATGTTTACATTCCAGCATCTCAGACAAGCTACATTCTATTTTCTTAAGCTTGAGCAATCTCTGTCTAGGTTCAAGGCTCTTCTTCAAACCATGCCGAAAGAACTCTGGATAATCTGTGACTTCGCCAATCTCTCTCCCCATCTCTGCTACCAGGAATTTGATTCTTGGTTGCAGAGAATGTCTAATACTCTTGATCAAAATTGGAGGATATCCCGTGACCAATAGCCTAATCTGCTCATTGTTGAATCCGCTTTGTTTTAAGAACTCTAGATTGGGCCTCAAAATCTTCTCCACATTCCTACACAAAACCTCGGGGAAGTTGACTACGACCTTTTGAATATCTATCATGGTAAGACCAATTGATTTCAAGAAATCTGCAGTTGGCCGAAGCCGCTTCTCCACACTGTAACCCATTATCCATGAATTCTTCACCAGAATTTTACCGATAACACCTTCACCATTAAGCCCCATACTTGAAAGAAAATCAATCATCTCAGCATACTTCTTGTCAATGCTGTAACTGATAAGCCTTGGATTAACCAAAAGCAGCTTACCCATTTGCTTTTCAGAAATACCAACCGCTTCGAAGAAAGCAAGGAGCGGGCAGAGCTTCTCTTCCACATTGTGGAATAGAATGTGGGGGAATTTAGTGATGGCCACCCCAAGTTCACCAGACTTTGTTCCTAGGGTGGAGAGGCATTGTACTACTGGCAGAAGCTTCTCATTTAAGTTCAACGTGAGAACCTTGGGGCACTTGGAAATGACATTGAGCATCTTCCTTTCTTGAATCCCAATAGTTCTCAGGTAATCCCAAACCTCACTGGCTTTGTCTCTCTCCACACAATCCAGATATTTGCATCTCCTAAACATTCTTTCAATACTTTCATCGTCAAATCCTTTACTTTTTAAGAACCCTAGCATATCACTCTGATGGTTCCCAACTCGCTGCATGACGCCTAAATTAAAATAGGGAAAAGGGTTCAATTCGCCCCGGAGAAAAAACGCACTGAAAGAATGTAAAATTTCGAAGTTGTAAATCCACCTTTTCCCCCCTTTTGCCGTAAACCCCAGATTTACTAAATCCTGGAGTTCGGTGGATTTACGGGTTTTGGCGGAAGAAGCGCGCGAAAGGGAGAAAGATAGTTACCTTCACAGCGAGCGAGCTCCCGTTGCAACTTCCGATACAACAGGAAGAACGGAGAACTGGAAGGAAAGTCGTCGAAGGAGGCGAAGGAGGTTTTAAGCGACTCGTTCAAACCCCTGCCACGTCGAACGGCAACGAAGAAATGGAGAAGAAAAATGCAGTAGAGATGACTGAGAGGCTATCCAGAAGATAAGAGGCAAATCGTAGACTGAAAATCTGAAATTAGTTAGTTATTAACCTAAGTAATTTAATAGAAATTAAAATAAAAAAATTAATTAGATAATTAATATTAAAATTTGTAAATAAATAGTTAATATTCTAAATAATAATTAGATTTCACTCTAAAGTCTATTTTCATATCAAACTAATCGAAACAACTAAATGTGGCATCATAAGTCTAAAAAAATTAAAAAAAAAAATATTTCACAAATAACTTAAGCAAAATTTATAACTAACATAATAAATAGAAAGTATTGCAATTCAAAAAGCATAACGAAACGACACACCTTACGTCTCTAGGTTCCCACAGCTCCTATTTCCTGCATAAGAAGACCAAACGACATTAAATTAGGGAATGAATGCATATCTTTTATCAAGCTCTATTATGCCTTGGGTGTTGAGAAATGTGTACCATTATGAGTTCTCTTTCTCTAGCATATGTAGCATGTTTAAAATGAACAAAAAAAAATTAAAATATATGACAAAAATAGACAATTAAGAAATATATAATTAGTGCAATATATATATATATATTATTTTTTAAAATTAAAGATATTAAGTAATGAGTAACATATCTCCTCATAATTTCTCCTCTTTTTTTTTTTTCTTTTTTTTTTTGAAATATTCATTTTCTTTTCTCTAGTAGATATTTTCTAAATGAAATTAAAAGAGATGCAATACAAATAGTATATTAATGTTATAAAAAAAATGTTTAAAATAAATAGAAATCCATATATAATCATTCACTCAAAAAACCTAATAATTTAATAATCTCCTAGATTTGTATCATCCAATGATACATTCCCAAATACTTCATAAACTTCCTTCACAAACAGTTAAAAAAACTTACAAAAAAGAAAAAAAAAAACTTACATCTATTCACATGAAAGTAGAGAGGTTCGTGGAGTCCTAACGATCAAATGAATAATGACAAAATAGAAGATTAGAATGCTGAAGAAGAATTATGGTGCTCGTCAAGTCCAATTCACAAGATCATATGCCATGATCGAGAAGTTTCATCTGCTCGCACGAACGCATAGAGGGCAGAGGAGACGAGAGCAAATGGGATTAGCGAACAGGATAGGGAATAGAATTAGGTTTTGATTCTTCACTTCGCTCAGATACGCCCGATTCTAATCCTACGGTTTAGGATGCATTAGACCAGTTTTTTAAAACAGGCACCAGATTCCCGGTTAGAAAGCCGGGCAAACCTGTTCAACATCGGTTTTGTGCAATACCAGTTTTAGGAAGTGATGGACTGACCGGTTTGCCGTTTCACGATTCAACCAGTTGATCCGGCTGGTCCGATTTTAAAAACCTTGGAACTGACAGCCTTAAATTCCAGATTACTTTGTCAAACAGTTTTACATGATTTAACACTTATATTGTTAAACGATTTTTAAGATTTAATTTTAATAGGATTTACTAAATTTACTAAATTATACTAAAGTTAAATCCTACTTGTTGCCAGACAGCCTCTTCAGTAACAATTGTTATATTTGATATAAAGGAAAGCTTGCGTCATTTTTTGTGAAACTTTATTCTTAAACTTCCACGATAAAAGTCAATTGAAATAAAAATTACATCTTTTTATTATCATAATATATTGTGCAGAAGAAAATATCTAAGAAAATGACATGTTTGAAATATTAATCGAGCTAAAATAGAAAGAAAGTTTCATACTTTCACCCAAAAAAAAAAACAAATGAACTTTCATGCACTCATTTACCAAAAGAAATGAGTTTTGATAAATTACATGCATACCACTCTATATTATTTTAATATCAAATATATCACTTATATTTCTTTCCTGCCACTAAGAGTTATTTATTTTCTTGGGTAGGGTTAGGGTTAAGGTTAAGGTTAAGGTTAGTTAGATAAACAACACATGGACCAAAAATTAGTGTACTTTTTTATTTTAAAATAGTGAAATAGTGAATGATAAATTATAAAATAAGTTATTTAAATTTATAAACAATATCAGCTACAGTAGTAGTTATGGATGTTCTAGGGGTGTCAATTCGAGTCAACAGTCAGGTTCAGGTCCATCCCACCTTGAATCGGGTGTAAATAGGTTGATCAAAGCCCAACCCGTTTAGCTAGATGGGCCAGGATATACAACTCGGATCCGACCCGCATGGGTTACCGAGTTGACCGACCTGACCCGTGAACCCAAACAGATTATGATTTCCTTCCTCGACGTTGAGTAGCGTCGTGCAGGCCTTGGGCATGGGCGAAGAACCGGTGACCAGTGAGGCCGCATCCGCATGTGCGGCGCAGCGGCGGACTGTCGTAAGGTGTAGGCCGGACTTTGGAGGAGGCGAGAGCCGGGATGCAGTCATGCGGGGCAGTGAATCGGTGAGGCCGCACTCTGCAGGTGAGGCCGGAGGTGGAGAAGCTAGGGCGGCTAGGCGGGCTCGTATAGGTTGACTGGAGGAGATGCCAAGATAGGGTCAAGGCTCCTGGTCGAACGCTTGGCAGGCTTCACGCGACTCACGAGTTAGCCGGGTTGACCAGCATGTTTTTGGGCAACCTCGAACCCAACCCATTTTTCATACGGGTCAAAAATCCAAACCAGGACTGACTCGTTTTACAAACGGGTTGACTTGAACCAAGATTTTTCTGGATCAGGTTTCGGACCATGTCAAGTTTTGACACCCCTAGAATGTTCCAACTTGATTCTATTTAGCTCTTATTTATAAAAGTTGCCGTCAAGATTTTTAATAAAAATATTTGATGAATCATGAAGGGACTAAGAAGACTAGAGCTTTTCAAGGAGCTGATTCAGACATAAGACAAAAGAGTCATTTTCAAAGAGGAAAACCAGTTTACTCTACTTAATCGTTAGTTCTAACTAGCTTTTGTGTTTTCTTATTTTTTTCGTTATTTATTTTATGACATTACTTACAACTTCCCACTCTTTTCGCTGGCCGCCTGCCGCTCTTGTCCATTTGTAAGCTGCTCGCAAGTCTTGGTGGCCAACTATCACTGGAATATGTGTTGATTGATTGCTACCTCCATTTGCAATCATGATTGCTCCTACTAATTGCTAAAATATTATCAACACTATTCAGTGACTATTGCCCCCACTTGCTTGCGAATAACACCTTCTGTAGTGGGGGCATAGTCATTTTAGACAATCAATATTGGGTTGATTAGATAGATTGTTCCAAGAATTAAAAACCTTAGTACTTAGATATATAGGAGTCCTAGTGGATAGAGCGACTTCTAGCAACAGTAACAGACATTTGAGCATGATAGAGATCAAGTAAAAAAAATGGATATTTTGATTTACAAGATACAGCTTTAACCAAATTCATAATTTGTTTAAAATTCTAAATACAGACTGCCATAAAACCCTTTCACCACCTCCCCAAAGGACATCAGTCAAATTCATCTCTTACTTCATTAAGATCTTGTAAACACTACATCAATGAGTGTGACTAATATCACGGACTAACCATTAGTCTAGGGACTAATCTAGGTTCGACTATTATCACATATGGGTCATCAAAGTTAGTTAGGAAAATATAGGAGAAATAATATCAAGGCTGTGTCAAAGACTAACAAGTATGAATTCGAATAAAGCTACGAATATAGGGCCTATAAAAATAGGAGCATAGGTTCTACAAAGATAAGATTAAGTGTTGGATAACTTTGGTCTATGACAATGTTAGGACTAGGAATGACTAGGATCAAACTCGGAAGTATAAGCTGTCCTAGCCACCAAACGTCAATTGAATATGTTTGAGAATCTCAGGGTCTAGATTATCTCACATGCAATAAAACTTTCTTATTCTCACATACACCTATTAGAGCCACAAATCCTCTTGAAACCTATAATCTTAGAGGATATGAACGAAACTACAAGATCTTTTTATCACATTTTTAACCATAGGCAAAATACCTCCACTTAGTTGGTAGCCTTTTCTATGTGATTCTCACAAAAAATAAAATAAAAATAAAAAATAAAAAATTAAACATACAAATTTAGGACCATAAGCTCCAATTATATTGTAATATAATGTATAAAATGCAATGTCAAAAGCTATTCCCAATACTTGGCATGCATGTAAATACCAAATTTTTTTTTTTTTAATCTCAATCATTATTTATTTTTCATATTCAAATCTAAATTTAATAAATGAGGTTTACATAGATACTATTGAATGTTTATGTATTTACATATCTAATATCTAAATTATTATCTTTTTTTTTTAACACACAAATCCTTAAATAACATCAAGAATAATACTAACATTAATATTTTAAAAATAGAATTCATCTTTTCATACATATATTCTATTATGATTAAGATATTACATTGTTATATAACTAAATATAAAACTTTATGTACATAAAAAAATAATGTGGTATACATGTAAATCCCCCTTTACTAAATCATAGGGTTAATTAATGGAAAATACAAATTGATTCAATTTAATATAAAGTAATCAGTATGAATGCGACCTAATCAATCCATGGATCCTAATGCTCATGAAATGATCATGCAACCTTCATTTTTATGTGGTAGAGCTAGTGGCTATATCTATGTGATCTCTTAGAAGTGTTTGTAGTCCAATCCTAGAGAAGTGTCACATTTTATCCTCTCAACTTGGATTTTGTTCTCTATGAAGAACCAAGACATATCATCTTGTCTCAAGTTTTTTTGATTGCATGAAGAAAATATATATTTATTTGAATCAACCTTGGAGGTGGCAGCAGTAGAATTTCAGCTTTGATAAGCATCATAAACTCTATTTATGCTGGTTTCATCTACTAGCCAATATCTTAGTGAGAGACAATATTCCACCTATATTTGAGAGTTCTTTTGGGCTATCTTATTTGAATAAGCTTTGGTGTATTTGATGTGTGTTTCTCCATAGTGTTTGCTGATTTATGTGTTTTTCAGACCAGACCGTCTCTTTTAAATGATTAGCTTTATT